GTGTCTGTCCATAGGACCACTTTAAGCCGTACACTCCACAGAGCTGGGCTTTACGGAAGCGTGGCCAGAAAAAAGCCATTGCTTAAAGAAAAAAATAAGCAAACATGTTTGTTGTTCACCAAAAGGCATGTGGGAGACTCCCCAAACATATGGAAGAAGGTACTCTGGTCAGATGAGACTAAAATTGAGCTTTTTGGCCATCAAGGAAAACGCTATGTCTGGCGCAAACCCAACACCTCTCATCACCCCGAGAACACCATTCCCACAGTGAAGCATGGTGGTGGCAGCATCATGCTGTGGGGATGTTTTTCATCGGCAGGGACTGGGAAACTGGTCAGAATTGAAGGAATGATGGATGGCGCTAAATAAAGGGAAATTCTTGAGGGAAACCTGTTTCAGTCTTCCAGAGATTTGAGACTGGGACGGAGGTTCACCTTCCAGCAGGACAATGACCCTAAGCATACTGCTAAAGCAACACTTGAGTGGTTTAAGGGGAAACATTTTAAATGTCTAGGAATGGCCTAGTCAAAGCCCAGACCTCAATCCAATTGAGAATCTGTGGTCTGACTTAAAGATTGCTGTACACCAGCGGAACCCATCCAACTTGAAGGAGCTGGAGCAGTTTTGCCTTGAAGAATGGGCAGAAACCCTAGTGGCTAGATGTGCCAAGCTTATAGAGACATACCCCAAGAGACTTGTAGCTGTAATTGCTGCAAAAGGTGGCTCTACAAAGTATTGACTTTAGGAGGGTGAATAGTTATGCACGCTCAAGTTTTCGGTTTTTTAGTCTTATTTCTTGTTTGTTTCACAATAAAAAATATTGTGGTAGGCATGTTGTGTAAATCAAATGATACAAACCCCCCAAAAATCAATTTTAATTCCAGGTTGTAAGGCAACAAAATAGGAAATATGCCAAGGGGGGTGAATACTTTTGCAAGCCTCTGTACCCACCCTCTAAAAATATTAATGTCACTGTCACTTCCTGGACAGCGTTTAAATTAAGTCAGAATCAGACCTAATTCTAGTATCTAGAGTGATATAACTATGTAGATTAACTTGACAGTTATGACCTGAGGTGGCTTCTAAAACCTGGGATGGACTAAAATAACCTAGCATTGTGTGTAATTCAAACACGGACTCGAGCAAACGATCAAAATCAAACAATATAAGGTGATAGAAGAAAACATTCAAAAGTTGCAGCGAATGAAACAACCTTTTGAATCAAATTCTGCAATAAAGTCAAGACAAAGAAAGTGTGGACTGCCATTTTTAAGGATTCAATGTAAAATAAATTGAAATAGGAATACTTTCAACTCTGTCAGGCAAAGCAGGAAACTCACATTGACACACTGCATTAATCTGAAGTTAACCCACCTCCTTCTAGGTTTAATGTATACCCTCACCTACACCTGGATTAGCCCTCATTTTCTTTGTGGAAATCAGACTGTGTAAATCCAGATTTAAACAGACTTTTAAACCATGTTTTAGAAAGTCTATTTTCATTAGTCCAGCATAAAAATGCTATTTACGCCAAGAGTAGGCTTAATCTGTGTCCGAAAATCCACCCTATAGCGTAGGCCTATGTGTTTAATGCAGATCTCAATAACATTAGAACTCTATTCTTTAGAGGCTAACAATCCTGATTTTATGGCCATACCAGATCACTCTGTGCAAGGTGTCTCTTTTAGACAGTTCACCTCTAGCCTTAGTATAACAATTCACCTTGACCACACATTATCCCACATGACTATGCCGCTGGTGTGCAAGGTGTGTCTCTCTTTCTCTATTACAGCACATAGGTGAAAGTTCACCTTCACAACACATCCTCATCCCCACATGAATTATAATTACCCTTCATGTAACAATTTCAAAGTTACAGTTAATTTAAGGAAATCAGTCAATTGAAATAATAATAATAATAATAATAATAATAATAATATGCCATTTAGCAGACGCTTTTATCCAAAGCGACTTACAGTCATGCGTGCATACATTTTTGTGTATGGGTGGTCCCGGGGATCGAACCCACTACCCTGGCGTTAAAAGCGCCGTGCTCTACCAGCTGAGCTACAGAGGACCACTGTTCTGTTAGACCTTCTATTTCCTTTGTTAGTATGGATTAGTATTTATTTCAAATAAATTCATTAGGCCCTAAACTATGCATTTCACATGACTGGGAATACAGATAGGCATCTGCAAAAAGTAGGGGCGTGGATCAGAAAATAAGTCTATATTTGGTGGTCTGCCTCATGCAGCGCAAAACATCTCCTTCGCATAGAGTTGATCAGGCTGTTGATTGTGGCCTGTGGAATGTTGTCCCACTCCTCGTCAATGGCTGTGTGAAGTTGCTGGATATTGGCGGGAACTGGAATACGCTGTCGTACACGTCGATCCAGAGCATCCCAAACATGTTCAATGGGTGACATGTCTGGTGAGTATGCAGGTCATGGAAGAACTGGGCCATTTTCAGCTTCCAGAAATTGTGTACAGATCCTTGTGACATGGGGCAGTGCATTATCATGCTGAAACATGAGGTGATGGCGGCGGATGAATGGCATGACAATGGGCCTTAGGATCTCGTCACGGTATCTCTGTGCATTAATATTGCCATAGATAATTGTGTTAGTTGTCTTTAGCTTATGCCGGCCCATACCATAACCCCACCGCCACCATGGGGCACTCTGTTCATAACGTTGACATCAGTAAACCGCTCACCCACACGACGCCATACACGCCCGGTACAGTGGAAATTGGGATTAATCCGTGAAGAGCACACTTCTGCAGCGTGCCAGTGGCCATTGAAGGTGAGCATTTGCCCACTTTAGTTGGTTACCACGCCGAACTGCAGTCAGGTCAAGACCCTGGTGAGGACAAGGAGCACACAGATGAGCTTCCCTGAGACTGTTTCTGACAGTTTGTGCAGAAATGCTGCTGGTCTCAGAAGATCCCGCAGGTGTAGAAGCTGGATGTGGAGGTCCTGGGCTGGCGTGGTTACACGTGGTCTGCGGTTGTGAGGCTGGTTGGACGTACTGCCAAATTCTCTAAAACGACGTTGGACGTTTCTTATGGTAGAGAAATTTACATTACATTATCTGGCAACAGCTCTGGTGGACATTCCTGCATGCCAATTGCACGCTCCCTCAACATGAGACATCTGTGGCATTGTGTTGTGTGACAACTGAACATTTTTACAGTGGCCTTTTATTGTCCCAAGCACAAGTTGCACCTGTGTAATGATCATGCTATTTTAATTAGTGTCTTGATATGCCACACCTATCCGGTAGATGGATTATCTTCGCAAAGGAGAAATCCTCACTAACAGGGATGTGAACAGAATTTGAGAGAAATAAGCTTTTTTTGCATGTGGAAAATTTTGGGGATCTTTTATTTCAGCTCATGAAACATGGGACCAACACTTTACATGTCGCGTTTATATATCTTTTCAGTATAGTATCAGGTGTTTTATCTCTTTTCAAGATAGCAGATACAGAGTATGCAGCACCCCTGAAAATGTTTTTGTTTTTTTCTTACAAAAGTTGTGCACTGGGCCTTTACTAGTCCTGTATTAGAGGACCTATATAGCCCTCTGTAGTGCTGGCAACAACAACAAACATGTTTCGTAAATCACAGAGGATAGCTGTTGTGGTGGCAGCTGCAGAGTACTTGGGTGTACGATAATTTTTCACTAAGTGTAATGAATTCATACTACAGAATAGTAGGCTGATACACAGCTAATATAATTTAGTATGAGGCGGCATGCACCTATAATATGTTTGCGGACCGCCATAATAATGAAGAAAAAGAAGAGGCAAGATCAGCCGTTGATACGCATGTGAACATGAAATTTGACCTCCATACAAAAACTCCTCTTTCGGTGAGCTCTTGCACTTCAAGAATTTCATGTAGGTAGGCCGTGAATGGCCTCACGCGCTAGTACAGTAGGTGGCGGTGTACGCACCTAAAAGTTGGATGCGATCCGCCAAACAAATCCTAAAGAAAACGAAGAAGCGCATACACTTGGTCAAAAACAATGTTTAGATTATTTCCAGACTGCATTTTTTCGGTTGCATGTCACTTTTTATTTAGACCTTTTTGGAAGTACATACCGACCGTAACGGTAGTAATGGCCATAGTTGATCAGCGAAACTCCATTATTTGATAAGTATCGAACGTATTTTGACAGTATTATGCTTGAAACGTTGTTGAATGGCTTCTTCTTCTTCGATGAGGTTTAACGGAGGTTCGCATCCAATTTGTTGCATTACCGCCACCTACTAGACTGGTGTACAACTCCCTTATATTTTGCTTGAAAAATAAAATTAAATAAAGAAATACCCTACACTCACAAATTCAAAATTATTATTAATAATTAACACCACAACCACACTATTTAAATATATGTCCTGTGCGAGAGAGGCAGGTTGAGGTTTCCAGGGTAAGAGTAGTGAAGAAGTTGTCATATGCTGAGGCAGTGAAGAAAGTAGAGGAAGATGGGTCAAGGGGGAGGAGTGGTGAGAGTAGTAGAGATGTACCAATGCAGAGGGATAGGACAAGTGATATGTTTCAGTAAGATTTGAATGTTTAGCATTTATAGCAATGGTTATTAATTGTACAGCAGGGATGGAACGTACGTCTAAGAAAATTGAGGTTGTGGTGGCAGCTGCAGAGAGGTATTTGGGTGTGCGAGACTTGACATCAGAAGAGTTACAGGGAGTGTTAAGTGGTAATGTTCCATCATCTCAGGTTGAGGGCATGAGGTAGGAATGAATATATTTAAATAGTGGAGTGGGGTGGTGTTAATTATTAATAATAATTTTGAATTTGTGAGTGTAGTGTTAGATGGTAGGGTATTTCTTTATTTTATTTTTCAAGCAAAATATAAGGGAGTTGTACACCAGTCTAGTAGGTGGCGGTAATGCAACAAATTGGATGCCAACCGCCGTTAAACCTCATCGAAGAAGAAGGTCTGTCGTAAGATTCTGGTTCATGCCACGCCCATCGTTTAGACTACGTCATGAAAGATACTCGCGTCGTTCCTTATTAACAATTGAACATTTTATATTACCTCAGTTTCTTTACTATCTCTCCGTGCGCTCTTCTTGAAATGTCGTCTACCGTAAAGAATATTTCGGTAACCTACGACGATGTAGGCAAAACTTTTAGCAGCGGCGATTTCATTTCGGGACGAATAACGTTGGAATTGGGAAAAGATTGCAAAATAGATTCTCTTTCCATAAAAGCGAAGGGAAAGTCGGAGGTCCTTTGGACAGAACATCATAATAAGACAACTGTAACTTACCATTCCAAGGACAAGTACTTTAGCATTGAACAATGTATCATTCGAGAACAAAAAGGCCAAGGTAAGGCATCAAGCCCAGCTTCCAGAGTTTTCAATGGGAAATGTATTTACGAAGTATGCCTATTGTAGTGCAGTAGTAGCGTCGTTCTACCATTTTATTTATTTATATATATACTACCGTTCAAAAGTTAGAAATGTCCTTGTTTTCCATGAAAACATACATGAAATGAGTTTCAGTAGATAATAAATTAAAATTATTAAAATTATTAAATTAAATTAAATTAAATTAAATAATATAGCAAAATGCATAGGAAATGTAGTCATTGACAAGGTTAGAAATAATGATTTTTAATTGAAATAATAATTGTGTCCTTTGCTTTCGTCATAGAATCCTCCATTTGCAGCAATTACAGTCTTGCAGACCTTTGGCATTCTAGTTGTCAATTTGTTGAGGTAATCTGAAGAGATTTCACCCCATGCTTCCTGAAGCACCTCCCACAAGTTGGATTGGGTTGATGGGCACTTCTTATGTACCATACGGTCAAGCTGCTCCCACAACAGCTCAATAGGGTTGAGATCCGGTGACTGTGCTGGCCACTCCATTATAGACAGAATACCAGCTGACTGCTTATTCCCTAAATAGTTCTTGCATAGTTTGGAGCTGTGCTTTGGGTCATTGTCCTGTTGTAGGAGGAAATTGGCTCCAATCATGCGCCGCACACAGGGTATGGCATGGCATTGCAAAATGGAGTGATAGCCTTCCTTCTTCAAGATCCATTTACCCTGTACAAATCTCCCACTTTACCACCACCAAAGCACCCCCAGACCATCACATTGCCTCCACCATGCTTGACAGATGGCATCAAGCACTCCTCCAGCATCTGATGGCTGCTGATAATGGCCCTCTGTATGCCTATGTAGATATTCCATTAGAAATCAGCCGTTTCCAGCTACAATAGCCATTTACAGCATTAACATTGCCTACACTGTATTTCTGATCAATTTGATGTTTTTTTAGTGGACAAAAAAATAGCTTTTCTTTCAAAAACAAGGACATTTCTAAGTGACCCCAAACTTTTGAACGGTAGTGTGTGTATGTGTATACGTGTGTGTGTGCTATATGTGTCTGTGTGTGTGTGTGAGATCTATATATGGTGGATCAGGCTAGTCCAGTGTAGTCGCCACTGCACTTCACATGTCACTACTATTACTGAAGGTATAGATTGAAAAATTTATGCACTCACTAACTGTAAGTCGCTCTGGATAAGAGCGTCTGCTAAATGACTAAAATGTAAATGACAAGATTTTCTATTGTGTTATTGACTGTACGTTTTTGTTTATTCCATATGTAACTCTGTGTTGTTGTTTTTATCGCACTGCTTTGCTTTATCTTGGCCAGGTCGCAGTTGTAAATGAGAACTTGTTCTCAACTGGCTTACCTGGTTAAATAAAGGTGGAAAAAAAAAAAAAGATTGACAAGGGGCTGACTAGTAACGTTATATAATGTGTATAGTCGTTGTCAAAAGTTTTGAGAATGACTCAAGTATTGGTCTTCACAAAGTTTGCTGCTTCAGTGTTATGAAATATTTGTCAGATGTTACTATGGTATACTGAAGTATAATTACAAGCATTCCATAAGTGTCAAAGGCTTTTATTGACAATTACATTAAGTTTATGCAAAGAGTCAATATTTGCAGTGTTGACCCTTCTTTTTCAAGACCTCTGCAATCCGCCCTGGCATGCTGTTTATTAACTTCTGGGCCACATCCTGACTAATGGCAGCCCATTCTTGCATAATCAATGCTTGGAGTTTGTCAGAATTTGTGGGTTTTTGTTTGTCCACCCACCTCTTGAGGATCGACCACAAGTTCTCAATCGGATTAAGGTCTGGGGCGTTTCCTGGCCATGGACCCAAAATGTCGATGTTCTGTTCCCCGAGCCATTTAGTTATCACTTTCGCCTTATGGCAAGGTCCTCCATCATGCTGGAAAAGACACTGGTCGTCACTAAACTGTTCTTGGGTGGTTGGGAGAAGTTGCTCTCGGAGGATGTGTTGGTACCATTCTTTTTTCATGGCTGTGTTCTTAGGCAAAATTGTGAGTGAGCCCACTCACTTGGCTGAGAAGCAACCCCACACATGAATGGTCTCAGGATGCTTTACTGTTGGCATGACACAGGACTGATGGTAGCGCTCACCTTGTCTTCTCCGGACAAGGTGTTTTCCGGAAGCCCCAAACATTCGGAAAGGGGATTCATCAGAGAAAATGACTTTACCCCAGTCCTCAGCAGTCCAATCCCTGTACCTTTTGCAGAATATCAGTCTGTCCCTGATGTTTTTCCTGAAGAGAAGTGGCTTCTTTGCTGCCCTTCTTGACACCAGGCCATCCTCCAAAAGTATTCGCCTCACTGTGCGTGCAGATGCACTCACACCTGCCTGCTGCCATTCTTGAGCAAGCTCTGCACTGGTGGTGCCCCGATCCCGCAGCTGAATCAACTTTAGGAGACGGTCCTGGCACTTGCTGGACTTTCTTGGGCACCCTGACTACTTCTTCACAACAATTGAACCTCTCTCCTTGAAGTTCTTAATGATCCGATAAATGGTTGATTTAGGTGCAATCTTACTAGCAGCAATATCCTTGCCTCTGAAGCCCTTTTTGTGCAAAGCAATGATGACGGCACGTGTTTCCTTGCAGGTAACCATGGTTAACAGAGGAAGAACAATGATTTCGAGCACCACCCTCCTTTAAAGCTTCCAGTCTGTTATTCTAACTCAATCAGCATGACAGAGTGATCTCCAGCCTTGTCCTCGTCAACACTCTCACCTGTGTTAACGAGAGAATCACTGACATGATGGCAGCTGGTCCTTTTGTGACAGGGCTGAAATGCAGTGGAAATGTTTTTTGGGGGATTAAGTTCATTTTCATGGCAAAGAGGGACTTTGCAATTAATTGCAATTCATCTGATCACTCTATTATTATTATTATTATTATTATTATTATTATTATTATTATTATTATTATTATTATTATTATTATATGCAAATTGCCATCATCAAAACTGAGGCAGCAGACTTTGTGAAAATTAGTATTTGTGTCATTCTCAAAACTTTTGACCACGACTGTACAGCAACTGATCAATAATGATCCATACCATTGCACCAAGTTAAACACCTACTTTTGGTGTAGAGTTGGATTTCTTTAACCAATTTTTACAGGTAAAAGATTCCAGGTAAGCCAATGAGGGGCTGTGGGGCAATGCATTAAGAGTGAGTTATGCTAATTCCAGTGAGCCTTTTCCATCAGCTGATGATGATCCAAACGCATGTTAACAGATGTACATAGTCGCCTTGGTCTAAACAATTGTTCAATAACTATATACTGATTTCTCCTTAGGACAAGACCATCAAACCCTGTTGACAGGTCAAAGTGCCACTATGTGTGAGTTTGCCTCTTATCACACACTCAACACTACTTCTGGAACACTGTGTGGCAACGCACGCAGACACACATGAGTGATTCTCATAAAACCAACTGAAACCAATTCAGCTTTATAGCCTTTATATGGACCAGACGGCATCAGATAGATGGCCTACACATAGAGAGACAGAGGGCCGCAGTTTTGCTCGCTCGGATGCTTTCTCCTGTAAGATACATTCAGCCTTTTGTGAATTGAAGGAAAATTATTAAACACAGAAACAGAATGTTTTATTTTTATTTATGGTCAATTTTTTTGTTAAGCATGGCTTCCCTTGGCATCCATGAATACACGCCACTGTTGTGAACTGTCATGGTCAAAGCATATTGATTCTATTGTTGTAAAGATGGGGAGAGGTCTGTCTGTGATAAAGAGATGCTCTGCTTTCTAAACATCACATGCAACCAAACAAGTCCTGCAAGCTCTGGTTTTGTCGCATCTTGACTATTACCCAGTTGTATGGTCAGGTGTGTCAAAAAAGGACCTAGAAAAGCTGCAGCTGAACCTGAACAGAGCAGCACGTCTGGGCCCTCAATTGTACACAGAGGGACAATGTCAATAACATGCAGGTCATTCTCTCCCAGTTCAGAGTGGAGGAGAGATTGACTGCATCACTGCTGGTCTTTGTAAGAGGTATTGACGCGCTGAAAGTACCGAATTGTCTGTTCAGCCTGTTAACACACAGCTCAAAACCTATTGTGTTGGCAGCATCATGTTATGGGTATGCTTGTCATCGGCAGGGACTGGGAAGTTTGTCAGGATCAAAATAAATATGAAAGGAGCAAAGCCCATGTAAAAAGTTAGAGGACAACCTGATTCAGTCTTCTGAAAACCTAACCCTGGGGGAAGAGTTTTATTTTTCAGCGAGACAATTATACATTTTAATGCCAAAGACACACCAGAATGGCTTTCCAAGAGGTGTTGAGTGTTCCTGAGTGGTCTAGTCTGTCCTGATTTTGAAATCTCCTTAAAAAAAATCAGAGGCAAGGTTTAAATATCACTGTCCATCAATGATCCCCAACCAAATTTACTGAGCCTGAGCAATTTTGACAAAAACCCTAAGAGTTGTGCAAAGTTGGTAGAATCTTAATGGAAATTATTCACAGCTGTAATGGCTGCCAAAGTTGCTTCCACCAAGTATTAGCCTAACCCAGGGGGGTGGAGACTTAACCAATTATGATATTTCAGTAGTATTTTCTTAATTTGAAAAGTTATTTTAAAATAACTTTATTTCACTTTGAAAATGTTGAGTAGGTTGTGTAGATCTGTAGGGTTTAAATTAGATTTTTTTCCTTTTTAGATTAAATTTTAAAGCAGCAAAATGTGAAAAAAAGTTAAAGGGGGGTGTACCCCATGCAGTCAGGGGTCTCTTCACAGTCCCCAAGTCCAGGACAGAGGCTGGGAGACACACAGTACTGTATAGAGCAGGGTTCTTCAATTCCGGTCCTGGAGGGCCGAAACACCTCTGTTTTTCATCCTCTCCTTCTAATCAGGGGCTAATTCAGACCTGGGACACCAGGTGAGTGCAATTAACTACCAGGTAGAAATAAAAAACAGAAGTGTTTCGGCCCTCCAGGACCGGAATTGAAGAACCCTGGTATAGACCAATGACTGCATGGAATTATCCTCCACCTCAGGTAACTGTTCAAAAACAGATAAAACAACACCTCAAGGATAAAAAAAACCCAGGATAAAACGACACCTCACGGAACAATGCGGACTGTGAAGAGATGCGCACACACACTCTACACACACCCACACATTATTCTTAGTATTATTAATTTATATATTTTTCTTTACTTTCTCTTTCTTCTTCTTCTTACTTTAAAATAGTCAGATTATTCTTTAGTTGGATTGTTCTTAGTTTAAATGTGTGTTGCTGTTCCTGTCCATAAGCATTCTGTATGTTGTCATGTTCTATGTTTTGTGTGGACCCCAGGAAGAATAGCTGCTGCTTCTTCAACAGAAAGTAAAAATCACTCATTTGGGGTTGAGGCATATAGCATGATGTTGTAATTGTTGACATGCAATGCGGGCTGTTCTTGACATTACACAACTTTTGAGGTCTGAAAACATTGGACAAACCTGTGTTAAAGGGGCATTACACTCAAATTCAAAGATGAATTGTCAAGATGAATACAAGATGATCCCGAAACGTTGGTGGGAGCTAATATATAGTGTACGACTCTCTTTATTTTTATAGCCTACAGCTTACTCGCCGTTAGTCAGCACCTCTACTAACTTTTTTGGGTGTGCACCAGCTCATGCTTTTCACAAGATAAATACACCCCCCATGCCATTGGTTGTGAAGAGCCAGCCGTATGCCTGAACTAATGTTTTGGGTGTGCGCCAGCTCATGCTTTTCACAAGATAAATACACACCCCATGCCATTGGTTGTGTAGAGCCAGCTGTATGCCTGAACACCAACAGGAAAACACCATATCATTTCCTGATTTTATTTCATTTGGGGTTATTGCATATACAGTGGGGGAAAAAAGTCTTTAGTCAGCCACCAATTGTGCAAGTTCTCCCACTTAAAAAGATGAGAGGCCTGTAATTTTCATCATAGGTACACGTCAACTATGACAGACACAATGATAATTTTTTTTCCAGAAAATCACATTGTAGGATTTTTTATGAATTTATTTGCAAATTATGGTGGAAAATAAGTATTTGGTCAATGACAAAAGTTTCTTAATACTTTGTTATATATCCTTTGTTGGCAATGACACAGGTCAAACGTTTTCTGTAAGTCTTCACAAGGTTTTCACACACTGTTGCTGGTATTTTGGCCCATTCCTCCATGCATATCTCCTCTAGAGCAGTGATGTTTTGGGGCTGTCGCTGGGCAACGCAGACTTTCAACTCCCTCCAAAGATTTTCTATGGGGTTGAGATCTGGAGACTGGCTAGGCCACTCCAGGACTTTGAAATGCTTCTTACGAAGCCACTCCTTCGTGTGTTTGGGATCATTGTCATGCTGAAAGACCCAGCCACGTTTCATCTTCAATGCCCTTGCTGATGGAAGGAGGTTTTCACTCAAAATCTCACGATACATGGCCCCATTCATTCTTTCCTTTACACGGATCAGTCGTCCTGGTCCCTTTGCAGAAAAACAGCCCCAAAGAATGATGTTTCCACCCCCATGCTTCACAGTAGGTATGGTGTTCTTTGGATGCAACTCAGCATTCTTTGTCCTCCGAACACGACAAGTTGAGTTTTTACCAAAAAGTTATATTTTGGTTTCATCTGACATTCTCCCAATCCTCTTCTGGATCATCAAAATGCACTCTAGCAAACTTCAGACGGGCCTGGACATGTACTGGCTTAAGCAGGGGGACACGTCTGGCACTGCAGGATTTTAGTCCCTGGCGGCGTAGTGTGTTACTGATGGTAGGCTTTGTTACTTTGGTCCCAGCTCTCTGCAGGTCATTCACTAGGTCCCCCCGTGTGGTTCTGGGATTTTTGCTCACCGTTCTTGTGATCATTTTGACCCCACGGGGTGAGATCTTGCGTGGAGCCCCAGATCGAGGGAGATTATCAGTGGTCTTGTATGTCTTCCATTTCCTAATAATTGCTCCCACAGTTGATTTCTTCAAACCAAGCTGCTTACCTATTGCAGATTCAGTCTTCCCAGCCTGGTGCAGGTCTACAATTTTGTTTCTGGTGTCCTTTGACAGCTCTTTGGTCTTGGCCATAGTGGAGTTTGGAGTGTGACTGTTTGAGGTTGTGGACAGGTGTCTTTTATACTGATAACAAGTTCAAACAGGTGCCATTAATACAGGTAACGAGTGGAGGACAGAGGAGCCTCTTAAAGAAGAAGTTACAGGTCTGTGAGAGCCAGAAATCTTGCTTGTTTGTAGGTGACCAAATACTTATTTTCCACCATAATTTGCAAATAAATTCATAAAAATCCTACAATGTGATTTTCTGGTTGACGTGTACCTAATGATGAAAATTACAGGCCTCTCTCATCTTTTTAAGTGGGAGAACTTGCACAATTGGTGGCTGACTAAATACTTTTTTCCCCCACTGTAGGTGTATCTACACAATGAATGGCCTGGGATGTGGACTTAAAGGAATAGTTCACACAAATTACAAAATACATTGGTCCACTTACTCTGTATGCTGTCTATGAATGAGAAGACAGCAATCTATGCTTTGGTTTTGTTTACCTGGTCATAGTCTCTAACTTTTTAGCATTTCTAGCACAAAGCCAATGTAAGTGAATATCCCTGATTTATTATACTTTTTCGCATTTCATTTCCAAATCATGTTAAAGTAATTTTATTGAGCTATACAATACATTCTTTACACTTTGGGAGGATTTGGACATGGAACATGAACATGCTTGTATCGGGGATGTCCACTTGCATAGGTTTTGTGCTATAAATGCTAAACAAAACCAAAGCATGGATTGCTGTCTTACCTTGTCCGTCGACTGCTTACAGGGTAAGGAAACCAATGTACCAATGGAATTTTGTAATTTGGGTTAACTTTTCCCATAAGACTACTTTTGAGGTATGAAAACATCTGACAAACAACATTTTTTGAAAATGTAATTCCCCTTTTAGGGGTTGTGTAATAATGTAGTAGTCCAATAAACAGAACAATCTGATTAATCTAAAGTTCTTGTTATTAAGATTGGCAGACAAGGAAAGAAAGTATGAAAAATAAAGTATGCACTCACTAACTGGAAGAGCGTCTGCTAAATGACTAAAATGTAAAGAGGGCTTCATCAAAAGAGAAGGCAGTGAAGCATAGAGAGCAACTGTACAGAAATCCAGAGCTGCATGAGGAGTACAGAAGAAAGGAAAGAGAGGTGTGTGTGTGTGTGTGTGTGTGTGTGTGTAGAGAGGAAAGTTGCAGACGAGTGTTTATTGATGACTCATTTGTCCCTACAGAAAGATTTGGTAACAATCCAATTGACACTGCTTTTATACCTGTGTTGTAACCAGGGCTCTAAATTAACTTTTTTCATTGGTAGCACTGTTTTTCATTGGTAGAAAAGTTAGGAGCACCACATACTATAAGCACCAGAAATATTTATGTTTAAATTGATAGGGAAAGGGGATATCTAGTCAATTGCACAACTGACTGCATTCAACGGAAATGTCTTACACATTTAACTGCCTTGCTCAAGGGAAGAACGGTTCCTTCCTTTCTGTGCCACCAAATGTTTGCATATACTGATAAAGTTACCAGGTTATTAGTAGGGCTGCACGATATGGCCCAAAAATCTAAATCTAATCAATTAATTTTTTAAAGATTGTGATTTGACTTGCGATATACACTCACCGGACAGTTTACTAGGTACACCCATCTATTACTGGGTCAGACCCCCCTTTGCCTCCAGAACAGCCTGAATTCTTTGGGGCATGGATTCTGTAAGATGTCGGATAAGTTTGTTACTCAATTTGTATCAAGGGACCTAACGTGTGCCAGGAAAATATTCCCCCTTACCAGTACACCACCACCACCAGCCTGTACCAGGTCCATGGACTGCTTACGCCATATCCTGACTCTGCCATCAGCATGACGCAACAGGAGCCATGATTCATCAATGTTTTTCCACTCCTCAATTGTCCAGTGTTGGTGATTGCTTGCCCACTGGAGCTGCTTCTTGTTTTTAGCAGATAGGCGTGTAACCCGTTGTGGTCGTCTGCTGCAATTGCCCAACCGTGACAAGGATTGATGAGTTGTGCGTTGGGAGATGCTGTTCTGCACACAACTGTTGTACTGCGCCGTTATTTGTCTGTTTGTGGCCCGCCTGTTAGCTTGCACGATTCTTGCCATTCTCCTTCGACCTCTCTCATCAACAAGCTGTTTTTGTCCACAGGACTGCCGCTGACTGGATGTTTTTTTGTTGCACCATTCTCGGTAAACCCTAGACACTGTCATGCGTGAAAAGCCCAGGAGGGCGGCCGTTTCTGAGATACTGGATCCGGCGCACCTGGAACCGATGATCATACCAGACTCTAAGTCGCTTAGGTCACTCGTTTTACCTATTCTAACATTAAATCGAACAGTAACTGAATGCCTTGATGCCTGTCTGCCTGCTTTATATAGCAAGCCACGGCCACGTGACTCACTCTGTAGGAGTGATCCATTTTCGTGAACGGGGTGGTGTACCTAATAAACTGCGTAGATCAAAACACAACTGTTGGGAATCATAGAAGTATAATGATTTGGCATGACAACAAATAGAAAAAGCCAGGTAGGAGTTATGACAGGGTAGGAACCAAAGTGTTGGTCGGTGTTTCCCATGGGACCCTAATCACATTTTAATAGCATTTAGACAAATATTTGTGAACAGGCTATCTGATTCAGAACATGCTAATGCACAAACAAACAACATGCTGATATACACCATCACTGGTAGCAACCTGTATTAGAGCTAATGTTTGCTTTGCCCTAGCTAGCGCATTTAGCTAAATGGCATTTTAGCTAGCTAGCCAGCTAGCTAGTTAGCGATTAGCATTACTGGTTAGCATTATTTTAGGCACTGGTTGGAACACTGTAGTTAGCCTACACTCGTAACACTGGGAAGGACTGTTCATTAAAAAAAATAGTGGTTTAGGGGGTGTGGGATGTGGTGGAGCTGGGCAGTGGTGGGGAGGTTATGATCAATTTGTTCTTAATGGTTAATATGGTTCTAAATTATATTTTTTGCTCTTAATAAAGTATTGTTTGCTCATTTATTTGTTCATTAACGTAATGTGGTCTCATCTACCGTAACATGGATCTCATTACCGAAATGCATCAATGACAACATATTCCTAGAATAATATTACAGAATTCAAAATATTTTAGCTGTGCATAAAATGTAATTTACTCTTTATATTTGTGTACTTTTAAAATATTAATAATAGTTTAAAACATAAATAAAATAAAACATCCAGGTTATGAACATGCTAGATAACTAATTAAAATATACTTAATCATAATCACATTGTTTTGGATAAAATATTGTAATAATTATCCTGTATCTCTAAGGCAATTTTTAAAAAATTGCAACATTTTCACCATGCTATGTTTCTTTTCTAACATCACAAGTGTTACGGTAATACTTTTTTTGCGCATGGTCTTGAATCTGAACAGTTAAGATGATTAATTTGAGACGGTATCTTATTCATTACAAAATAAAAATGTTTATCTTTGTCTTTTAAAAATGTACCAAGAGTAATACCAAGTTCGTGAGAATCACCCATACACACACACACACTCACTGTGTGGCAACTTTATCAAATACGCAGCTTTACTACACACTTCACTGAACTTTATGCCTAGAAAAAGGTCCATATTTCTGGACGGCTTCTTTTTTACTCTTGTAACATAAACGTGACTTATTGTTTTTCAGATTGTAATGTCGTAGCTCCTGGAACTCACGTTTACCCATTCACCTTTCAGATCCCTCAGCAGTAAGTGCCCTGCATTACACACCTGGTGGGCTAATATTTAGATTGCTAAGACACTCGATCATGAAGCACAATCAAATAATTAGAGTAGTTAGCTATCTTGTTAACATCAGCAAGGTAATCCTGAGTTGTTTACAATGGTTAATTTTCTAAGTCATTGTGTTTTATGATTGATTGTGTCTTAGCATTCCTCATGACACACTGAATGAGAATAAACAAATCATTTACTCTACGTTTGAAGCACAGGCAGCCCAATTAGGATAGTTTGCCCAATTATTGGCAAAATATCTGATCTGATTGGTTAAAAGACCAATTAGTGGCAAAAGATCAGAAATGAGCTGCCTGAGTAAACAGCCATATTAAGTCAATAATCTAATCAATAGATTGCAGATACTACATGTACAGTGCATTCGGAAAGTATTCAGACCCCTTTACTTTTTCCACATTGTTACGTTACAGCCTTATTCTAAAATGGATTAAATAAAACATTTTCCACATCAATATACACACAATACACCATAATGACAAAGCGAAAACAGTTTTATTTTACATTTTAGCAAATGTATTTAAAATAAAAAACATACCTTATTTACATAAGTATTCAGACCCTTTGCTATGAGACATGAAATTGAGCTCCGGTGCATCCTGTTTCCATTGATCATCCTTGTAGAAACATCTCAACTTGATTGGAGTTCACCTGTGGTAAATTCAATTGATTGGACATGATTTGGAAAGACACACACCAGTCCCACAGTTGACAGTGCATGTCAGAGCAAAAACCAAGCCATAAGGTCGAAGGAATGTCTGCAGCATTGAAGGTCCCCAAGAACACAGTAGCCTCCATCATTCTTAAATGGGAGAAGTTTGGAACCACCAACACTCTTCCTAGAGCTGTCCACCCAGCCAAACTGACCAATCGGGGGGGGGGGGGGGGGGGGTCACTCTGACAGAGCTCCAGAGTTCCTCTGTGGAGATGGGAGAACTTTACAGAAGGACAACCATATCTGCAGCACCCTACCAATCAGGCCTTTATGGTAGAGTGGCCAGGCAGAAGCCACTCCTCAGTAAAAGGCACATGACCGCCCGCTTGGAGTTTGCCAAAAGGCACCTAAAGGACTCTCAGACCATGAGAAACAAGATTCTCTGGTCTGATGAAACCAAGATTGAACTCTTTGGCCTGAATGCCAAGTGTCACGTCTGGAGGAAACCTGGCACCATCCCTACGGTGAAGCGTGATGGCAGCATCATGCTGGGAGACTAGTCAGGATTGAGGGAAAGATGAACGGAGCAAAGTACAGAGAGATCCCTGATGAAAACCTCCTCCAGAGCGCTCAGGACCTCAGACTGGGGTGAAGGTTCACCTTCCAACAGGACAACAACCCTAAGCACACAGCCAAGACAACGCAGGAGTGGCTTCAGGACAAGTCTCTGAATGTCCTTGAGTGGCCCAGCCAGAGCCCGGACTTGAACCCGATTTGAACATCTCTGGAGATACCTGTGCAGCGACGCTCCCCAACCAACCTGACAGAGCTTGAGAGGATCTGCAGAGAAGAATGGGAGAAACTCCCCAAATACAGGTGTGCCAAGCTTGTAGCATCATACCCAAGAAGACTCGAGGCTGTAATCGCTGCCAAAGGTGCTTCAACAAAGTACTGAGTAAAGGGTCTGAATACTTACAGTGCTATGAAAAGTATTTGCCCCCTTTCTAATTTTCTCTACTTTTGCATATTTGTGATCCTGAAGGTTATCAGATCTTCAACCAAAACCTAATATTAGATAATGGGAACATAAGTGAACAAATAACACAACAATTACATATTTATTTCATTTATTTCATAAACAAAGTTATGCAACACCCAATTCCCCTGTGTGAAAAAGTAATTGCCCCCTTACACTCAATAACTGGTTGTGCCACCTTTATCTGCAATGACTCCCCATAAGAGCCAGTTTCACATAGCGCTTGGTTTTTGCGACTGCACTTGAAGAAACAAAAGTTTGGACACACCTACTCATTCCAGGGTTTTTCTTTATTTTCACTATTTTAAGTCTTTCAGTTCTTGAAATTTTCCAGATTGACTGACCTTCATGTTTTAAAGTAATGGACTGTCGTTTCTCTTTGCTTATTTGAGCTGTTCTTGCCATAATATAGACTTGGTCTTTTACCAAATAGGGCTATCTTCTGTATACCACCCCTACCTTGTCACAACACAACTGATTGGCTCAAACACATTAAGAAGGAAAGAATTTCCACAAATTAACTTTTGCCAAGGCACACCTGTTAATTGAAATGCATTCCAGGTGACGACCTCATGAAGCTGGTTTAGATAATGCCAAGAGTATGCAAATCTGTCATCAAGGCAAATGGTGGCTACTTTGAAGAATCTCAAATATAAAATATATTTTGATTTGTTTAACACTTTGCACCAATCGGAGACATTAGTTGCCCATTTTCCAATTATGACAGTTCACTTGTTTATTTATGGCCCTAATCTGGAGTTACCATACAGCTGAGTGTAGTTACCAAATAGCTTCTAGTTACTACACCATAAAATATGAACTTTATGTAGAATGTCGATCTATCACCACGCTTAGTCTCCGTTTTGTAATAAAAAATAAACTAATAATAATACTGATGTTCCTCCTTCATAGAGCAATGCCATCATCCTTTAAAGGTGCCTGGGGGAAAATCCTGTATACGTTAGAGGCCAAGTTGAGCAGATCAATGAGGATATCCAGCAAAGCCAGGGCTGAGTTCCCCTTTGTCTCCAAGGCAGACCCGGGCAGCATCTCTGTGCTGATGGTATGGAATCAAACACACACACACACACACACACACGCGCGCCTTGTTGACACAGTGAATACTACTGTGTGAGCCTATCCCGATACTAACGCAGTACTGCCAATGCTTTTCTTAATTGTTTCTCCTCCTTATTGTGGTTATATGGTGGTGGTGTTTGTAGCACAACTGTCTGTTCCTTTTCAGATACCTCAGCATGGAACCAAGGCTAAAAAGATGAAGTTATTCACCTCAGGAAAAGTGGGAATGGACATTCACATAGAGAGAATGGGCTACTACTTAGGTAAGAAAACCAACAGGACTAACGAGGGCTAGGGACAGAGTAATGCACCCCTGGTATATAGCCTTTCATACCATACTGTTGCTTAAGAACACTTTACTGTTCTTAGAAAATATAAGGTATGGAAACATGTAAGAGTGAAGGAAGGGTGTTGTCAGTATTCCAATCCTCAAGCATATACTTTCCAGATGATTGCATTTTGTTCTTTGTCATGCATACACAAACAATACAGCTGAATATTGTCAGTTGTATTGTTGACTTTAGTGGTTAAAGTGGAATTGACAGCATTTTAATGACTTTGCAGATATGAAACAAACAGACGATCATATCAGTCAAAAATATCAAATTTTCCATTTTAAAAAATAGGTTATATTTGCCCAAAAACGTAATGACATAGTAAGGCATTGTTGGCAGAATAGATGGATGCAGCTCAATGCATGGTTAATATAATTCACCAATACATTTCTTGGTAGTCAATTTTTTTTTGTTGCTATCACAACTGGCCTGTTACATTGTTTGCTGCCTCAACCCATTCGGGATGCACTGTTTCAATGACTCAATATTTTGGACAAAAACGGACGAATGTAAGTAACTAAGGCTGGGAAAGTCTATACAATCAAACTAGCATGGGCAATGATCACAAGTAGGTCATAACGTGGCTAGTAGGCTTGCATATCTATTTATGTAACTATTTAGCAAGCTAAAAACACTGAGGCTAAGGTTAGCTAACTGCTGGAAGGATGTCATGTCATTGGACGAGTGGGAGAGCGACCAACTTTTTCCCCTCACATCGTTTTTCGGTGGCTACAGCTAGAGTTGCGGGTGTCATTTGGTTAGCTAGCAAGAAATGTGAATCGCTTTGCTAGCTAGCTATGCTGAACTTGAACGACTGTTATCCACAGTTAGCATGCATATCTCTGAGTTGTCAATCAAATATATTTGGGATCGATCAAATGGGCGGGCCGGCAGTTCGTATTCAGTTGTCAAAACGTGCGTTGGGACAATCATTCATTCATCTTTCATCTTGGGAGATTATCAGTGGTCTTGTATGTCTTCCATTTCCTAATAATTGCTACCACAGTTGATTTCTTCAAACCAAGCTGCTTACCTATTGCAGATTCAGTCTTCCCAGCCTGGTGCAGGTCTACAATTTTGTTTCTGGTGTCCTTTGACAGCTCTTTGGTCTTGGCCATAGTGGAGTTTGGAGTGTGACTGTTTGAGGTTGTGGACAGGTGTCTTTTATACTGATAACAAGTTCAAACAGGTGCCATTAATACAGGTAACGAGTGGAGGACAGAGGAGCCTCTTAAAGAAGAAGTTACAGGTCTGTGAGAGCCAGAAATCTTGCTTGTTTGTAGGTGACCAAATACTTATTTTCCACCATAATTTGCAAATAAATTCATAAAAAATCCTACAATGTGATTTTCTGGATTTTTTTTCCTCAATTTGTCTGTCATAGTTGACGTGTACCTATGATGAAAATTACAGGCCTCTCTCATCTTTTTAAGTGGGAGAACTTGCACAATTGGTGGCTGACTAAATATTTTTTTCCCCCACTGTATGCCTACTATAGCTCTGATTTGGCTATGGCACACTGGTCTGTGTAGAGTCCGGTCCTGGACAAGACTGACACATTTTTATTAGGTTTTATTTACTGCAGTGTCTATTAATTATCCAAACGCACGGCCGCTTTCACACTCTATATTGATATAGAATTTTCACAAATGCCTTACTCTACGTCATTCCCAAACATTCTATGAAAGTATGAAAATTACCCTATCTATGTGCTCGCTTGTCAGAAAATGTAAAGGAAACGTCATTCTTCCTGGGGGTGTATATGAACAGATTTTTATATGATTTAATGTTGCTAAAAGGCTGTCAGTTCCACTTTAACACTTGTATTTATTAATTACTTATTCATAAAAAAGCACAAGTTGAGGTTTCACGCAAATCATGCACAGACATGGTAGATTTGCTCAAGTGTTTGAATTACTATCATTTATCTCATATTAGGGTTTGACCATGGCGCTGAGTATCATGAATTCAGAAAAACATAGCTACCATAAATATACCCCCCTCCCTTTGCAGGTGAAGACCTGACGGTTGTGGCGTCCATTGAGAATAGCTCCTCTCGTGAGATCAAGCCCAAGTATACTCTGTACCAGAAGGACAGCTTCTTTGCGAGGGGAAAGATGAGGGTGTCCACTAAAGACATCCTGAAAGAGCTGGGAGAGCCTATCCCGCCATCTGGGCAACTGAAAGTCACTAAAGTCCTTAAAATCCCACACCACATTGTTCCGTCCATCCTCACCTGCAGTAATATCAAATGCGAGTACAGGCTGAAGGTGTGTATCTCTCTCTGTGTGTGTGTGTTAAAACATGTATTCAGTGTCTATCCAAAACCACTACTACAATGTGCCTTGACCATTTATTTACTAAGATACAAAAAAAAGACACAGGAAACATGTTCTGGGCTTACAACATGCTGTAGTGGGCTTTGTTGCTGCAAAAGGAATGCTCTGGTGAAACTCCTCCCTTTCTTTTGTTGTTATTGCTTACCAAGGGAGTCATTAAACTTTTGAAATGATTAGAGACCCAGTTTTACAACTTCTGAAGTCATGTGGGTTGTTATCATTGATAGAAATGTAGTGCAAAGACTAGAGGCTGGCTACATTTTAACCACAATGATCTTAATGAGAAATGTTCTCTTTCTCTAAGAATAACTTACTGTTGGGCAAACCATTTTCTTAATGAGTCCACATTATGCAATTGGTAAATCGTTATACTGTTTGACAAAGTGTCACTGATCGATTTATACGAGTCATTTTTTCTAACTCAAATGTAAAAGTTTTTTTTAAAAACAGTATGCACTTGAAATATTACCTTGAATATACGTTATATCCAATAATCAAGGGCAGCAGGTAGTCTACTGGTTAAGAGCGTTGGGCGTAAATGACTAAAATGTAAATGTAATAATTTACCTTTAATTCTAGCTTGCATACTGTGCTTAGTCGTTTATTGCATTGACTTTGATTCCAATATCCTTGTTTACATCATAGATCGTCCTGGATGTTCCGTACGCCAGAGACCCAGAAGTCAAATTGCCATTGGTCATCCTCCCTGGAACTCAAACGCCTGGACTGCAGCCGCCACCTTACTCTGACTTTGGTTTTGACTCGTTTGGGAACACAAACCAACCCGGATGGAACAGCGCACCACAATTCCCAACGGCCCCAGGAGCCTATCCAGCAACGGCCCCAGGAGCCTATCCAGCAACGGCCCCAGGAGCCTATCCACCAACGGCCCCAGGAGCCTATCCACCAACGGCCCCAGGAGCTTATGCGCCTCCCCCAGCCTACGGAGTATACCCATCCCTGTCTGATTTTGGTGGTCAATCCTAGTGGGAGAAAAGATAGAGGGTAGATGATAACAAATGAATGCGTTGTATATTATAATGTGCAGTTTTCTATCTCTTTAGACGTCCATTTATACTTCCATACTTCTCTATTGTTGATGTTTCTTGTCATTGCCATGGCAACGTGTATAACTTCAATCTTTTTGGAAATGCCTACTATGAATAATGAAATGGAACAAAGCTCTGCCTAACAGTGTGCCTTGTATAAGTTGTCTACATATGAATATTGCTAGTAAGAATGAAACAGTGAATGTTATAATTTCATGGCGGTGCTGATAATCTAATTAAAGAGTTTTATTTATAAGGTGTTTGTGGTTTTCTGTATCACATCATTAAAAAATGGACCAGTGGCCTATTATCGTCCTGGACGTCCCTGCTTTTTATTTCCCTGGACTTATTTGGCCATTTTCACTATTACCATATATACATACACACACACACATTTTCACTATTACCATATACACACACACACACACACACATTTTCACTATTACCATATATATATATATATATATATCCAGGATGATAATAGGCCACTGGTCCATTTTTTTTATGATGAGATACAGAAAACCACAAACACCTTGTTATCAACCAAATACCACACCATATGCATACATAAACCTTATGTAAGCCTTACAACCTTTTATTTTATGGAGAAGAATCACGGAGTTATGCTGTCACAACAAGTGTTGGAAAATTAATCAGACGTAACGTTTAATGATGACATTGCAAATATCGTGGGCAAAGGCCTATTTATTGTCCCCGCCTATTGTAAACATAAACCTCCTCCCTTACTATGTTATATTACAGACAGTTGTGAACCCAACCAACACTTGTTTTTCTTTCTGCGTTGGCTATGCTTCATTTCGTTGACCAGAATGACAATCGAAATCTTCACAATCAAATATGACGCGAAAAATGGGCGAAATGTATTTTCAAGGGGAGATACTATCACAGGGAGAATTATGTTGGTCGTTTCAGCTGAAACAAAGATTAAATGTCTTTCTGTCAAGGCAAAAGGAAAAGCTACTGTTTTGTGGGAGGAAGATTATGGACAATACTCGATGGTAACATACCATGCCAAAGATGAATATTTTTCAATTAAGCAGTGTATACTGCAGGAAGGGAATGGTAAAGTATCAAAACTTATTTTCTTACAAATGTATGCATTGCATATCAGCCATCATAAAGATGAGGAGGACATTTTGGGGAAAAAGTAGTAAAGGGGCAATCTGCAGTTCAAACAATAAAAAAGCTATACTGTTTGGATAAAGTTAAGGAAAGGCGGGGGTAGAGAAATGTAGACTAACCACACTCAAATTCATAGACGGAGCTCTGAGTGCAAGAACTGATCATCCATGATATCAAACTTATAGTTTTAACCAGGGGTGCAATTTTCACTGGGGGGGGAGGGGGGACATGTCCCCCCCACATTCAGAAGTTTTATTTATAGCCCCCCCCCCCCCCACAGTTTTATCATTGGAATGTGAACCAAACGAGGCAACGGTGTGCTTTAGGACCGAAGTTCGCCCCTGGTTTTAACCATGTTTTGAGGCTATGCCTACAGTGTTTACAATTACATTTTTACAAACAATGGAGTAAAACAATCTTATATTTTGGATACTGATGGGGTACGACAGTTAAGCTATTGCTACGGAGCCATTTATAAGTTATATTGTTTGAGAATCAATATCCTTAATTTACACGTGTGTGTGCAATCTCACCTGTGTTCCTCTTTTCCGTGCACTATACGTTCTGAGCGGTTTAATGGCATAGGCCTACTGTAATTGAAATACTAGAGTTTTGTATTCACTTTCAAACTAATAAAATGCTGCATTGTGTTGTAGCCTAGGTAGGATCATTCTGTTTTCCCTATACATAGGCTTATCAATTGTGGATATTTTCAAACTACGTGTCCGGGGGACTGGGAGCTGTCATTTCATAATCTCGCCCACCAGCTGGCTTTCTAGTCACTTCATTTTCTTGCACTGTGACAGGTCAATTCTCTGCACTAGGTCTAGCTCAGGGATGGGCAACTTTAATTGGGGTGGAGGCTACAAAAAATCTGATCTCATGAGGGGCCACAGTTGCTCGCGGATCTGCAAATGGTTAAGGTTTAGGGTATGGAGGTCCCAAGGATCCCAGATAGCACCTCATATTCATTCTTATTTCTATGATCATGAATGTCAATTCTTCCCAGTCTGATAATTCTATGCAAGCAGTAGATCACGTTCTGAAATATTGTGTTCTATTTTCATATTTACAATGTGTATGAGATCACTTTGTACATGTCCGGATGTGTGCGTGCGTGAATATACAGTATACAGATCAAAAATATAAACGCAACAATTTCAACAGTTTTACTGAGTTACAGTTCATATAAGGCAGGGTTGCCCAACCCTGTTCCTGGAGAGCTACCCTGCTGTAGGTTTTCGCTCCAACCACCGGTGTTACTAACCTGATTCATCTTATCAACCTGCTAAATATTAGAATCAAGTGTGCTAGATTAGGGTTGGAGCAAAAACCTACAGGACAGTAGCTCTCCAGGAACAGGGTTGGACAGTCCTGATATAAGGAAATCAGTAAATTGAAATAAATTCATTAGGCCCTAATCTATGGATTTCTCATGACTGGGCAGGGGCGCAGCCATGGGTGGGCCTGGGAGGGCATAGGCCCACCCACTGGGGAACCAGACCCAGCCAGTAAGAATGAGTTCCCCCCCTCCCCCCCCCCCCCAAAAGGGCTTTATTACCGACAGAAATACTCCTCAGTTTCATCAGCTGTCCGGGTGGATGATCTCAGACGATCCCACAGGTGAAGACTGATGTGGAGGTCCTAGGCTGGCGTGGTTATAAGTTGTCTGCAGTTGTGAGGCCGGTTGGACATACTGCCAAATTCTCTAAAACGACGTTGGAGGTGGCTTATGGTAGAGCAATGGACATTAAATTATCTGGCAACAGCTCTGGTGGACATTCCGGCAGTCAGCATGCCAATTGCACGCTACTTCAAAACTTGAAACATCTGTGACATTTTGTGACAAAACTGCACATTTTAGAGTGACATTTTATTGTCCCCAGCCCAAGGTCCACCTATGTAATGATCATGCTGTTTAATCAGCTTCTTGATATGCCACACCTGTCAGGTGGATGGATTATCTTGGCAAAGGAGAAATTCTCACTAACAGGGATGTAAACAAATTTGTGCACAACATTTGAGAGAAATAAGCTTTTTGTGCATATGGAAAATTTCTGGGATCTTTTATTTCAGCTCATGAAACATGGGACCAACACTTGACATGTTGCGTTTATATTTTTGTTCAGTATATATACATTGAGTGTACAAAACATTAAGGACACATACCTGCTCTTTCCATGACATAGACTGACCAGGTGAATCCAGGTGAAAGCTATATGATCCCTTATTGATGCCACTTGTTAAATCCACTTGTTAAATCCACTTCAATCAGTGTAGATGAAAGGGAAGAGACAGGTTAAATAAGGATTTTTAAGCCTTGAGACAATTGAGACATGGATTATGTATGTGTGCCATTCAGAGGGTAAATGTGCAAGACAAAATATTTAAGTGCCTTTTGAACGAGGTATGGTAGTAGGTGCCAGGCGCACCAGTTTGTGCCAAGAACTGCAAAGCTGCATGCGTTTTTCACGCTCAATAGTTTCCCGTGTGTATCAAGAATAGTCCACCACCCAAAGGACATCCAGACAACTTGACACAACTGTGGGAAGCATTGGAGTCAACATAGGCCAACATCCCTGTGGAGTCCATGCCCGACAAATTGAGGCTGTTCTGATGGCAAAATGAGTGGTGCAACTCAATATTAGGAAGGTGTCCTTAATGTTTTGTACCCTCAGTGTGTATACAGTGGGGAAAAAAAGTATTTAGTCAGCCACCAATTGTGCAAGTTCTCCCACTTAAAAAGGTGAGAGAGGCCTGTAATTTTCATCATAGGTACACGTCAACTATGACAGACAAAATGAGAAAAGAAAATCCAGAAAATCACATTGTAGGATTTTTAATGAATTTATTTGCAAATTATGGTGGAAAATAAGTATTTGGTCAATAACAAAAGTTTCTCAATACTTTGTTATATACCCTTTGTTGGCAATGACACAGGTCAAACGTTTTCTGTAAATCTTCACAAGGTTTTCACACACTGTTGCTGGTATTTTGGCCCTTTCCTCCATGCAGATCTCCTCTAGAGCAGTGATGTTTTGGGGCTGTCGCTGGGCAACACAGACTTTCAACTCCTTCCAAAGATTTTCTATGGGGTTGAGATCTGGAGACTGGCTAGGCCACTCCAGGACCTTGAAATGCTTCTTACGAAGGCACTCCTTCGTTGCCCGGGCGGTGTGTTTGAGATCATTGTCATGCTGAAAGACCCAGCCATGTTTCATCTTCAATGCCCTTGCTGATGGAAGGAGGTTTTCACTCAAAATCTTATATTATTACATATTATTATTATTATTTCACTCAAAATCTCACGATACATGGCCCCATTCATTCTTTCCTTTACACGGATCAGTCGTCCTGGTCCCTTTGCAGAAAAACAGCCCCAAAGCATGATGTTTCCACCCCCATGCTTCACAGTAGGTATGGTGTTCTTTGGATGCAACTCAGCATTCTTTGTCCTCCAAACACGACGAGTTGAGTTTTTACCAAAAAGTTATATTTTGGTTCCATCTGACCATATGACATTCTCCCAATCCTCTTCTGGATCATCCAAATGCACTCTAGCAAACTTCAGACGGGCCTGGACATGTACTGGCTTAAGCAGGGGGACACGTCTGGCACTGCAGGATTTGAGTCCCTGGCGGCGTAGTGTGTTACTGATGGTAGGCTTTGTTACTTTGGTCCCAGCTCTCTGCAGGTCATTCACTAGGTCCCCCCGTGTGGTTCTGGGATTTTTGCTCACCGTTCTTGTGATCATTTTGAACCCACGGGGTGAGATCTTGCGTGGAGCCCCAG